ATTAGAAGAAATTTGAAGAAATGTGAAGAAATTTAAAGAAAGTTGAAGAAATTTAAAGAAATTCAAAGAAATTTGAAGAAATTTAATGAAATATTAGGAAATTTGAAGAAATTTAATGAAATATTAAGAAATTTTATGTCCATATTTGTATTCAGTCAATTACGAGTACCTATACTACAATGATCTTTTTGATTCTAGAGTCTGTTATGTGACTTCAGTTCCTCTAGTAGTAATAGTAATAGTACAATCCCTTGTATATACCCTTTTAGAATTACAATCTTTTACGAAACATAATATGTACAAACTTAGTAACTTGGAATTTTCATATATTGAATTTACACTTAACAATTTGAAGGTGTGAAGGGTTTTTTTTTCTGGAATTCATCTCGGAACGGGAACGAAAACTGTCAATCTAAGCAATATTTTTTAAGAAATACCGAATAACAATCTGAAAACCTTTTCCTATATACATAAAGTATGAAGTAAAAGAGATAATGGACGCTTGAAATTGGGATAAGCTAAGAATAGAAACTGCATTTGCAACCTACAGGAAACTGTAAAAGATATATATGAAGGGCGTTTAGTATTATAATGGAGTTAACTTACATGGAAATCTTGTACAGTTTTCATAATAAAACAGATAAAAGATTGTAGACAACAGATCTGTCACAACAAAGAAGAAGATTGAATATAAACGTACATGCTGCTGAAAATCTAAAATACTTGCAAGAATTTTTGTCAAGCCGGAAGTGCTCAGATACAGATAAATACTTTTAATTTGTTTAAAGCATTTAACGCCTTGTCCATCATTGTTTTTAGTTTTTTCGTTATTCTCGTTACTTCCGTTAATTAATCCTTTTTGGACTGTTATTTGCTCTCCATGTCCTCTCCAAGCTTCCTCGGCGACCACAAAAGTACCAGACCGCCTAGGTAGCTTACAGAAAACAGTTAATTCAATATATATATACCATAATGAAGTACACTTTATTGAGTACAATAGTCGCGTTGAATTGAGTTTTTTCACAGCTGAGTACCTACATTCCCAAAATGGTTAATCGGGTCTATAACGATTGTATAACGGAGATTTATCCATTATATTCGTATCTACATAGTAATTACTTGGAGTGTCATAAAAAGACGAGTTTCTCATGACAGTTTTTGTTCGTAAATGCAACATCCTTATTGAGACAAACATAAAGATATAAATGTAACGCATCTTGTGCTACATATACGTACAGAGTGAATCTCGAATAGATAAAGTGAAGTATGATATACTAAAAGAAGAGAAAATAAAAGATATATGTAGTAATAAAATTTGCTGCTTAACAGAAACATTTGCAATAACAGGAATTGCTAGTTTTCGTTCAACAAAGTTTTCGTTAAGGTAGTTGTTGTTTTCCAGTAGATTTCCAGGTCGTTCTTTGAATAATATAGTGTTTATATCGCAATTGAATGGCAGTTTACATTCTTTTTCTTGAACTTCATGTCTTTGATCGTCGTTTTTGCTTGTTTCTGTCGTTCAGTAACTTTTGCAACTTACTAAACCATAAAAACATAACGATTTGTAAATTTTAAAATATTCCTAACAATTTCAACCGATCTTAAGTGACTTTGAAAGGTTTTAATAAACAGGTTAACAGAGATTTTGAAGGTTTTCAAAGATTTTGAGATTTTTTTATAACTTAAAGCACTTTCTGTTTGTGGATATTAAGTTAAATCTATCTGGAAGATATAATTAGATAATACTTTAAGAGAATTAAATGATTCCAATGGATTTCACGTAATTTTAGGAGATGTCAATAGGTTTTAAGAGAATTCATGACGCTTGAAGCGATTTAAAAAATAGAAATTTTTTCAAAGGGATTTAAATATTTTTTCACCTTATTGTTTTTAGATGTTAAGCTGGATGTTTTTGACGTATTTCAAGAGAATTCACAGATTTCAAGTGATTTTAAGAAAGTTCCAGTGATTTTAAGATATTTCCAGTGATTTCAATCTATCGTAAGCGATTTTCAGAGGGCGTAGAAGGGATTTTAAAGTTTTTAAAAGATTTTAAAATTTTTATAACTTTCCCTGTCAAATGATTTCGATGGATTTCACGACATTTCAGAAGTCTTTAACTTAACAAAAACTGCATAATAAAAGATGTTATAATGTAATTTTGTTCAATTTTAAAGTCATTTCAAGGATTCTGAAGTGATTTTGAGTACTTTCAGAATATTTCAAGTAATTTTAAGAAATTTCAAGTAGTTTTAAGAGCTTTCAAGAAGTTTATGAAGGTTGCTTAGGAGCCAGGAATCATTTGAATGCTATACAATTAAAGAGAACAGCCTTATTTCGTAATGAAGAAAATGCTCTTCCATCGGTTAACCAAATGCCAAATTTTAAGAGTCATACTTCCAAGAGATTGTAAATGATTTCGATAGATTTCAAATTATTTCAAGGACTTTTTTAATATTTTAAACGATTTAATGATATTTGAAGTAACATTACACACGTTTAAGATTTTTACTTGATTTCAAGTAATTTAAAAAGTTTTGAAGTGATTTGAGGAGCTTGTACGAGAATTCAAGAAACTATGGGATTTCAAGAAAGTTTAAACAATTTTAAGACCAGGGTTAAGGGATTTCAGAATTTTAAAAGCTTTCAAAATTTTCAGGGATTTCTAAAAACTTCTTTTTTCAAGAGAACTCAAGCGATTTAAATAAAGTGATTGTAATGAACGTTAAGGGTATCAGCAAATTTTAAATGATTTCATCATAGATACTTTTTTAACGATAGTAAGTTAAATTTTTTTGAAAAATAATTATATCATACTAATGATTTTAAACGATTTCAGTTAATTTCAAGCGATTTAAATTAATTTCAAGCCATTTTAATTAATTTCAAGCGACTTCAATTAATTTCAATAGATTTCAAATAATTTCAAGGGATTCAAGAGATTTATTTCAAGAGCTTTCAAAAGATTTCGAGGGATTTTAGGAGATTTCAAGAGATTTTAAGTGATTTTAAGCGATTTTAAACAATTTTGTAGACGTTGTTAAAGATTTTCAAGAGGATTCCAAGAAATTTTGGAAGATTTCAAGTAATTTTCAGCTATTTTAAGGAAGTTTACGTGCTTAAAAAGAGATTTTATGATGATTAGATTTTACTTCAAGATATTTTAAATCATTTCAATGGATTTAAAATCATTTCCAGCGATTTAGATTACACGTTAAGAGAATTCAGACGATTTCAAGATATTTTTCGTTTCTCACTCAAACTATCAGGGATTTTAATAGGATTAACAGATATTTAAAAGGTTTTCAAGAGATTTGATAACTTTTTTATAAGTAATTTTTAACGATAATTATTAAAACTTTTTGAAAAATAATAATATCTTAGGTACTTCGACAGATTTTAAACGACTTCAATTAATTTCAAGTGATTTCAAGAGATGTATGAAATTTTAAGGGATTCAAGAGATTTCATGTGATGTAAGAAGGTTTAAGGGATTCTAACAAATTTTAAGCCATTTAAAGACATTTCCAAGGTTTTCTAAGGATTACGAACTTTTTATAAACTCATGTTTTGTTTGTAAATGTTAAACTGAAGCATTTCGAAGAGATTTTAAATTATTTTAAACAATTTCAAGAAACTTCATGAGACTTAAAGCGATTTCAGAACATTTTAAAGCATTTTTTGAGTTTTATAATTTAAAATTACGTTATTTATGAATATAAAGTCTTTAAATATTTTTGAAAGATAATAAGATCATCAAGAGTTAAAACTTTTTATTGTATGGTCAAATCGCACGACAGGAGTCTTCGAATGATTGCAAAAGTGAGTTTTAAATGAGGAATCTTTAACGAGGCTGAAAATATCTTTTGTTTATAAATGTTCATTTAAATCTTTTCAACAGATGATGATTGGATCATCAGTCAGGCGATTTTAATTGATTTGAATGAATTTCGAATGATTGTAAGAGATTTTAAATATATTTCAAGGAATTTGAAATATTAACAGACGTCAAAAGTTTTCAAACAAGTAAAATTTTTATAACTTTTAGACATTTTTTTTTGTAGTAGTTGAATATTTTCGACAAATAAAAATCAATCATATTAGGTACATGGACGTACCAGTAACTATCACACAAAATTGTCTCTACATCTTTGTCCCTAATTTAAAATATACTCTGATTTACAATTTTATAATATGTACTGCAAGCGCACTTGTGCATTATAAATTGAGATTATAAAATAGCCGATTCTAATTTACTAGCCAAACGACCTTTAAAACACCCACTTTGTAGAAGTGCTTGAATCATTGAGGTCAATGTCACGCCATTGTCTGCAAATGATTTAATAGACATTTTTGAAGAGTGTGTCCCAATAATTCCACCACGAGTTACTCTAGAAATAAACAAAATATAAGAACAATCCAACCAAATTAAATAAAAAATTATACTTTGGTCCATCATAAGAGCTAAAACAAGAGATTTGCGTGTAAAATTGTAATACTGAGGTATATAAGATAATCTTGGGTTCTACTCATAAGTTAAAATACGGATAGATTTGATGATAACCAAAAACAGTACTTATAGTAAAACAAAAAATCTTTAAATCACAACATAAACCTCAGTGAATATACCTAATCTAGGAAGATAAAACTTATATCACTATTCCAATTTAAAATCCTATAAACAAGTGGTCAATAAGAACGCAAGTCCACGCTGTATCAAGGTTTTGACCTATGGTATGTCGAGACAGCATAAAGAACACGATTTGGATGGATGTGGTAACATGTATTCTTATAATTTTTCCTTAACACTTGCTCCCAAATAATGCCTGCTCCAGTATTTCACTCCTTTAATCTAGCTATTCTCGATACAAAAGAAAAAGACAGTTAAGATTTTGTTTTCGTCACTAGAAATCTTGATGATGATTTATTCTCGATACATTTTATAAAAACGATGTATTATATTACACTATATAAGATGAAAAATAAAAATGTGGACTTACCTCTAGAGCTGCAATCATGTCCTCGAAGCTTTCCAAAGGAAGAGCCTCGATGGTCCCTTCTGTAGTATCCAAAGATTTTTGAAGTAGTTGGACTTCGTCTGTGTACTCCTATATTTAAAACAAAGCATGTTTAGATTGTGTTTTGTACACAAAACCCTTGTCAGCCATTTTCAACATTCAAACTATCATACATATTGTAAATACAAAATTATCATTATTAGGAAAAATATCCGTGGCTATTTCAGATCCGTATCAGATTTATTTAAACTGTCAAGAATGTTGATTGTATAATCCAATTACTTCCAAATTACTGTTGTTTATTGGTTGTTGCTTCTTGATTACTGTGAACTTAATAAATGTTTTTTAACACAACATTTTTAATATGACGCATGATTGTGATAGTTCTGTATTTACTATACGATATGTACACGTTTGACTAGACAAGTTTTTCATTTAGAAAGCATTGAATACGAACATGCAAATAACAAATTATGTATAAACAATTTAAAAGTAAGCAAGTTGTCAACAGTAAATCATAATGTTTGTACAAGTTGACTGTTAGCTTGATTAGTTCAAAGAAGATGAGAACACCTTCGATGAAATGTTGTCTGCCTAGGACACCTTGCATGACAACTGTTGAGGGAGGTTATTGAAGGAAACTAGTGTAACTGTAGTACAATTACAACTGAATTATTTATCAGTAGGTATATTAGTACATGTTATGCAATGGGGGGAACGAATTAACGAATTTTTTTATCGCATGCAAGAAATTATGAGTTATATTAGAATGCATTTTTCGTTTATTGTTAGATCTGACAATTACAGTTTAAAGCTATTTCGTTTGTTAGAACATATATACAAAGCTTTTATTTGTGAACTTCTCATCAGGAGCGTTGAACCTATAGGCAATGCATAATTTAACAAAAAACAGGGCCATAATATACAGTTGAAGCTTAGCACTGACTCTACCAATTTCTAATACACAACTGTTAACTCTCAAATGAAACAATTTTTCGGAGTATAACTCCCAAAATATTTGTGGATGTATTAGACGAAGATTATGAACAGCCATTAGAAAATAGCAAACACATTCCACGTGATTCTCTCCACGTGCCTGGATTGTATAAATAATTGACAAAACTATATAAAACAATTACCCAAGTAAGAAAGTAATAAATATCTATTAACTAGAGTCCAGAGACAACTAGAGTCCACAGACGACTGCCTAACATTTGCTTACCTTCCCTCAAGAGCGAGATGTAGCAAAGGAGACACCTCAAGATTGCAGGGTACACCTGTTACACAAACAGGAATGATAAGGTACAGGAATTGATAGTAATGAATAAAATGTCAGCTTTTCTATTCCACTAGAAGAATATACTTCTGTGTTCCAGATCTTGCATTGTGCAAAATAAATCAACAGCATGGTTTTTGAACTTAAGCTGATCACTATAGAGAGAAACTCTTATGGAGAGAAAGATATATATTGACGAAGCATAGAAGCATAAGCGAGAAAAAAAGAACTGATTAACTTTTTAAAAGACGATCAGTTACAAAATAATTCAGTCTAGAGCCAGCTTAAAAGTGCTAAAAAGTACTATGCGTAACCAGATGACTGGATTCCATACCACATAAATATCATTGTAAAAGTATATCCGGTCAAGCATATGGCAAACTGTCAAACTGTCAAAAGACACCTGTCCATAATAAGGGTGTGTTATGGGAACGTTTTGCCAATATCGAACAAGATAACTTGGACAAACAACATTGAAACTGAAACAGTCAATCATATTTTGCAGCAAGTACTTTTGAAGAATACTTACTGACTCTTAAAACACGTTACACGTCCACTAGGTCTGTAACTGTAGATTCAGGATTCCAGAATTATGGAATTATAAGCCATTGACTACAATATGACCGCTGTATCACAGTCGATGTTCAAGAAATAAAAATAAGACATCAGACAAATGCACACAGCATAAAACGTAGTTTTTTCCACATGCCATTCACTGGGTTGATAGGTTAACTCCCAAAAAAATATAAATACATATCAAGAAGAGTATGTTTAAGAAAACAATACGAAGCTACTTGCTAAAAACTTAGCTTATAAACTTAAAAGAGTTAAAAGACTTAATAAATACATTAATAAACAATATAAAAATAAAACAGACAAAAAACTAAGATAAGACAATAAAAATCGATAAAAGAGAAAAATCCTAGAGATTTTTTAGAACAAAATGGCAATAATATTGGCAAAAATAGTATCTCAGACTGATGATAAATTTGAATCACTTGATTTATGAAAGAATTATGTACATTAGGTCAGACACCTGGCTGTATGACGAAAGGACAGAGTCTACATTAAAATCCAGAAGAAGAAATAAGTTAGGTTATGTACAAACATTAACATCTTCTTCTTTCGGATTTTACTATGATATTTGGTATTTTTCAACTTGTCAAATAGAGTTGACGATTTCTTTCACCAGTTTATTATTAACTTTTAAATGTTAGATGGAGCTTTATTAAATCGGTACACTCAAATTCAAATCAACACATGCAAACATTAAAATTCAAAAAGATAAAACCTTTCCAAACATCAAATACCTTATATTATTCGCCAGAAGCATTTTACGTAACATCAGAAGCCTTTTATGATTAAGAATATGTGTACTTCACATTTACAATAACACTTAAAAGCTTCCATATACTTATTTTATTTATTATTTATTCATTTAAAAAATTGCAATGAAGTAATTTATATTGTACAGCGTACATATGATTATTTGCAGTCACATAAAATTGGTATAAGAATTTAGGTCTGACACAAACCTTACTAGATCATACCCTACGCTGTATAATATATATAGTACTGAGTAGTACGATCAAAAGGAGCTTCTAAGTCCCACACGTTTTGAAATTAAAATGAGTGTCCGTGATTTTCATATTAATATAAATGCTGTATATAATATAATATATAGGATAAAGATAAAATCTGCACTGGCTGGATTATTTGGATTGATGGCACTCAAAAGTACATACTTAGGAACCCATTTTGCCAAATTTTCAGCTCCCTAAGTGGCCCAGGGGTCCCCCTATAGCAAAAAATGTGTTTTTTTACGAAAAGAAAAATTTCCTGAACGATCTTTTGCTTTAAAAAAATTGAAAAAATCATAAACATACATTTTAATGCCCAAAAATGCTCATTTAGTTTTTTTCAGATTTTTTGGATTAAAATTGAGCTCAGTTTCAATCAGAAATCAATTCTAAATGCAGTTTTTTCGAATTTAGGATATTTTCTGTCTAGCTTGAATATGACCTTGCTATTGGCAAAATGGAAAAACTAGGTAGAAAACCGTTGTTCATTCATATGCAGTTGAAATTATGTGCTAAAAACATGGGAAAAATATCGAAAAAAGAAAGTATATTTTAGCACGTTCTGGTCTGAACTTGCAAACCAGATCTCGCTTTTAGAAATAATAAAAAAAATGTATCAAAAATCGTTATTTATTGAAATGAAGTTGAGTTTATGTGGTAAAATATGGGGGGAAAACGCCAAAAAATGTTTTTTTTTTTAATTTTAAGGATGTTTCGGAGAGAAAATGGCTTTTTTGAAAAATTCAAATATTTTTCCTGAGCTCAATTTTAATTGAAAAAAAAATCTAAAATGAGTATTTTTGGGCATTGAAATGACATGTTTATGATTTTTCATATTTTTTAAAGCAAAGAATTGCTCAGGAAATTTTTCTTTTCGAGAAGAACACATTTTTGCCTACCTAGAGAGGGGTCCACCTAGAGAGCTGAAAATTTGGCTAGAGGATTCTAAATATTTACTTTTAAGTGCCCAATCCCAAATAAGAATCCAGCCAAGTGCAAATTTTACCATCTTATCCCGCCATAGCCTTTCTCTGTGTATTACTTTAAGGAGCAGCTTCAGTGTACGCGGCTCATCTGATTAGACAGTGAGCCTCGCAGTATCTGGTATTGTCATTTTAACCCTCCACATGTGTCGGCTGATTAGTAAATATCGTTTGTCTTTAATTGCCTGTGGACATCACCATCTCACCCATTCTATAATCGACTGCAGGAAGTATAGTCGGTTCGCTATATTTACGCGGGTTTCGGATTAACAAAATTATGCTAATGACTCATTGATAACCAGTTGCAGTAAACGACTTCCCAGAAAATTAGGTAAAAACTGCATTAATGGTCATATTTTAAAATACATTAAAATAACATTAGGGTAGGTATAAATTTGTTACAATATTGCAGTTGAATTGATTCTTTGCCAGTGTTGACATTGTATGTTTGGTGGAAATATTTAAAAATGCCTAGACGTGTGTTAGATGTAGATAGTCTAATTTGTAGTGTACATAAGTATTTTACGGATGAAAAAGAAAATGGCGGTCCTTTAAAATCGGTAATGTCTGTTCAACAACGCGTATGTGATGCTCTAGGAATTAGTGAAACCAAACTAAGAGGAGTATTACAAAATCGCAATAATGAACGGCCGAAAGAAGATCACCGAAAAACTCGCCTATCATTGAAAACGAAAGATATTCCAGATGGAAAAAATTTGAAATTCGTGATACCATTTATCGAATGCGAGCCAACAAGGAACATGTGACCTTAAATACAATTCTCTCGGAATTAAAAGATAGAAAATTTGACGAAATTGGCAGAACAAGTCTATGGCAAGTGATACATAATTTGGGTTTCAAATTTCAAAAGGAGGATAACAGAAAACCCTGTGTGAAAGAAGTTCTGTTGTGCATAAAAGAATTAACTTTCTAAGAAAATATTCTAAATTAAAAGAAGGGCAAATTTTATATATTTAGACGAAACATGGATATTTTCTAGGGGTGCAACCAAGAGAATATGGCAAGATGATAACGTAAAGTCTATCAAACATACTAATGGAGAAGGGAAGCGACACATAATTTTACATGCAGGAGGGAAATCGGGTTTTATAGAAGGTGCTGATTTAATATTTTCATCTAAATCAAAATCAAGTGACTATCACGATAATATGAACACAGAAATGTTTGTAAAATGGTTACATGAAAAACTTCTCCCAGGTTTAAGTGAGCCCAGCGTAATTATTTTAGACAATGCACCTTACCATTCTGAAGTATTAAACAAAAGTCCAACGAATTCTTGGACTGTTAATAAAATTAAAGAATGGTTGACAAAGGAACATATACCATTTGCACACAACATATTTTAAAATCAGAATTATTACGCTTGGCAAATATCCACGCAAAACCAAAAACCTTTGTTGTGGATCAGATTATTGAAAGTTACGGTCATCAAGTTTTACGTCTGCCACCGTATCATCGCCAGTTTAATCCCATCGAATATATATGGGGAATAGCAAAACAATATTATGACAACCATATTGGGTCTAACGGTTATAGCGACGACGCAGTTCGGGAAACTTGGCGAAAGGCACTTTCAATTGTAACTCCAGAAGTGTGGTGTAACTGTATATTCAAGTGCGAGAAACTAATAGAAGATTGGTGGACTCGTGAAAATAAAATAAACGAAATAAATCCAATCATAATAACAATTAATGGTGATGACAGTGATGATGATAACGATTATGATATTTTTGATGATAATGACTGATTTTCATTTTTGTTGGCAAGTTAAATTTTTTTATTTTTCATTAGAAATTCTCTCCATGGAACAAATATACATAGACCATATTTTCTGTGTGAAGTGTAATATAAAATTATTATTAGGTTTATATTAGCCACATTAGACTCCATTAATGAAGTAATTCTCCTTATTATACTGTCAATTATATAAAAGATTTTCCATTATTATTTAATTAAAAAAAGTTATGGATTATTTTTCATTTCATTTGACCAGTTGATATTTCGCCAAAGAGCAGGTAATTAAAAACTGGGTACTTACAATAAAATTTTTAATTCGAAACCCGCGTAAATATAGCGAACCGACTATAGTCAGTCATCTCCTACCTCACAGTAACAGGTCTAGACATCGTAACTGATATGTACATTTTACGATATAAAAAATTTAAAAAAAAATCATGAAAGCAGTATAATATACCATAATTATTATGACTATACTATTAGTTTCTACTTGACGTTTCGTTTGTTACTGTGGCAGACATTATCAAAGACGTTAGATATTATCTGACCTTCCTCGAGTGTCAGTATCAGCGCTATTCGTAGTGTGGCGCCGGGATTTGTCGATTGTTCCAAAACGATATTGGAACTTTTGGTGTGTCCAATACCGATTTGCACCTAGCATTCAGATAACTGCTACAAATGGCACAATTACTCATCGAGAGAGTGATATACCTACTAACAATGTACGCTTCAAACTGTTGACCTTGTAAGTACACATATTCTTTTCTATAAGCCCCAAATAAAAGCAAAATATTTACACATGTATTTAATACACTATCCAATAAATAAAATTAGTAAGCAAAACAGATTCAGAAACACGAAAATAACTAGGTTAATGAGAGACAAGCACAAAGTCTGGAACCCAACACAGACAACACAATGAAATTTCACCTTTTTGAGATGTCTGTCATCGCCGGATCCATCTAGAGTCGTCGACTTCGTTGGCTGCATGTGAGGCCCTAAAGAGGAGGTATCGGGTAGGGGTTCAGTGGCACCGACCGAAGTTACTAGAGTGTTACTCTCGATTAAAGGTTCCGGAGGTAAGTAAGTACTTTGTTCTTTCCAGCCAGCTATACCGCCGGGTAAGCTGTACATCATATACTCAGAGTTGGGTAGTGTTCTACCGAAAGATTCTCCAGATTGATTACGAGGCGAGCTTCTACCGCTAGAACCGTCAGAACCACCGTCGTCATCTGGTGGGCCACTTGGTAGAACCACAGCGTCACCAGAACCTTGTTCTTTTCGTTGCATCGCTAACTCCAATTGCCAATTTTCTTCGGCTTCATCATATATTTTCTTTGTTAGCCAAAAACCATCGTCTAGTAATAAATTATTTATAAGCGTATTTAAAGAGTCTGAATCTAAAGGTTGGGGGCCTACGATGTCTTCATCTACGTCCTGAGAGTGACTAGATTTTCTAGTGATCTTACTAACTACAGTTGTTACTAATGATTTTATAAATCCAGGTTTCTTAGATTCCTCAGACTCAAACTTGGACTTCTTTTCTTTCTTTTTGGGAGATTTTGAAGGAGTAGATTGAGCCGACATAAACGTATCATTCGATTCAATGGTTTCATTTTGTTGTAAATAAGCTTCATCATATTTCACTGCATCATCTAAAAATTCTTCAACTACTTTCCTAGATGTGTCAATTGTTTCTTTCAAAACAGACTGGTCGTATAACTTAGCATCTTCTAAAAATTGTTGAACTGCTCGTTTATTTAACTCATTTTGATCCACAACTTCTTCACTAACACAAGTCTCAACTTTAAACAATTCAGATTCTTGTTGTGGTGTCAGTTCTTCTTCTTTTTTAACGTCAGAGGTAACATAAATATGTTCTTCTGTTCTTTCAGTTTGTGTAGGCGTTTCTGTAGTAGTAATTCTCACTTCACGAACGATTTCAGTATTTATATCACTTTCACTTGAGCTAAGAGTTACTTCAGATTGCAAAACTTGTTCTGGTTCACTTGAGCTAGGAGTAACCTCAGATTGCAAAACTTGTTCTGGTTCATTAAAGTTAGAAGTAACCTCAGATTGTATCACTTGTTCTATTGCACTTGAGCTCGGAGTAACCTCAGATTGTACAACTTGTACTATTTGAGTAGGATCTTTCTTCTTTTTGTTTTTCTTAGACTTCTTTGATGGGGATTCAGCATGAGCTTCTTTAACACTTTCTGGCAAAACTATGTTTTTCTCATCTGTGGCAGCTTCAACTTCAACCTCAGTTTCTTTAATTGCTTCAGTTTTAATAGCCTCAATGACTTCCTCAGTGTCGATTTTGATTGGTTCTTCAATATCTTTGGATACAGTAGTATCAGGTTCTACTTCCACAATACCTTTCTTCTTTTTGTTTTTCTTAGATTTCTTTGGCACAGATTCCATCAATTTCTCATTATCGTTTTCTGAATACACATGTTTATCATCTTGGGATAGATCAGTCTGAACCACAATTTCTTCAGTTATCTTAACTGAATCTTTAATATCTTTAGGTAATGTAATTTCAGTTTCCTGGTTAACTTCTGGTTTTAAAGTATCTGTCTTTGGTTCTATATGTTCTTCTCTAACGATATCTGAGTATGTAAGTTTTTTAACATCTTGTACCTTCTCGTCAGTAGTTATTTGCTCTTGAGGCTCAACTGATCGTATTACTTCAATTTTGTGCAATTTGGTTGGTTCTTCTATGATGGTACATTTCTCTTCTGATTCAATTGACACCAAACCAATATCAGATTGTGTATCGTCTTTTGTCTTAGTGTCATCTTTCTTCTTTTTGTTTTTCTTAGACTTTTTCGATTGAGTTTCAGTTGGTACAACGTTGTTACTCTTCAATACTTCAGTCGTAACCTCAGCCTCTTTGATAGCTTCGGTCTGATCAACTTGTATAACCTCAACAGTAACTGTGTCTTCTTTATCTTCCTGAACTTTAGTTGGGACTTCAATATTTACAGATTCAACTTCTAAATCTTGTTCTGCTTGTACTGTATCCTTCTTCTTTTTGTTCTTCTTAGATTTCTTTGAGGGCGATGCTATCGGTACCTCGTCAACGTTTTCTGGTGAGTCTTGCGGTAATTCAAGCTTAACATCAGCCTCTTCCGTTCCTTTGGGTTCAACTGCTTGAATAATTTCAACTGTAACTGTCTCTTCTTTATCTTCTTGGACTATAACTGGTATTTCAATCTGTTCAGATACAGGATCAACATCTTGTTCTTTTTGTACCGTATTCTTCTGTTTGTTCTTCTTGGATTTCTTTGATAACGGTACCTCATCTACGTTTTCTGGTGAGTCTCGAGTTAATTCAGTAACATTAGCCTCTTCAGTTACTTTAGGTTCAACTGCTTGGATAGTATCAACTGTAACTGTCTCTTCTTTATCTTCTTGGACTGTAATTGGCACAGATACAGGTTTTACATCTTGTTCTGTTTGTAAGGTATCTTTCTTTTTGTGTTTCTTAGCTTTCTTCGAAAGCGATGCTATCGGTACATCGACAACATTCTCTGGTGTTTCTTTAGAAGGTTCAGCTTTAATTTCAGATTCTTCTGTTTCTACAGTTTGATCTGATTGAACAATTTCAACTGTTACAGACACTTCTTTATTTTCTACGTCCCTGACAGGTGTTTCAATATTTAGAGACTCAGGTTCTACTTGTTGTATATCTTTCTTCTTTTTACCTTTTTTAGATTTCTTTGATTCGACAGGCTCTTCTGTGACACTTGTTGGCGTGTCTTTAGGAAGTTCAGTCTTTTCTTGGTCGTTCGGTTGTATTGTTTGGATAGCTTCAACTTTAGTAACACTATCTTCTTCGGCTCTAATTGGTATGTCAGTTTTTTCCAATATATGTTCTCTATTCGATGGGGACTGGCTTGAAATTTGTTTAACCCTTTCTGAATATAGAAGTTTTTGCTCATCTTTAGATGGAACAATTTTTTCTGCTTCTGCTGATTTCAAAGGTTCGATAAGTATCTCTGAAACACTTTCAATAGGTTTAGTTTTCTGATCTTCATCCTCATTGACTTTGATTTCTGGGGTTTTAAGTTGATCAGAATCTGATGATTTCTTTACGTCTAAGATCTCTTTTGTATCCTTAATTATTTCTATAGTCTCTGGAATAGTGGAGTCTACAATTGTCTCAACCAATTGGACGTTTTCAAAATCACTTTCTTTAGTTTCTTTTTTAATAAATTCTATATTAATGTCTTCTTTACCATCGTTATTAGATTGTACTTCTGTAGTTATTGTATATTCTGTTATTCCTGTTATTATTACTTGATTATTTGAAGCTGATTTAAAATCTGGGTCAACAGATTTCTCTACTTGTTGAATATCTACAGGTTTAACGATATCAACAAATTCTATTTGATCTTGTTTTTCTGAAGTTACTGGAATTGGTTTATCGTCATCAACTTGTGTTTCAACTTCATCTTTATTTGTTTCAACAAACGGTTTTTCGATCGTAGATATGTTGGCTTCCAATTCTATGGAAGAATCTGGTTGTTTTTCTAATTTTACCGTTTCTACCTTAGATGGCCAAACTTTATTAACTGTCTCAGTTACTTCTACTACAGTAGTTTCTTGTATTTGATCACTAGGTTCTGGTATTACTAACGACTCATCAATAGTGACTGGCTCTTGATCTACAGATATTTTAGGAGAATCTTGGGCAGCTATATTATGTTTCTTGGTTTTCTTTTTCTTACTTTTCGTTTCTGTTGTATGTACTTCTTGTATCGTGGGCGGTTCAACTACTTTTTCTGAAATTATCTCTTGTGTAGCTTCTTCAACTGTTGAATCAGTAATGCTTTCAACGGTTTGGGGTTTATTCTCTATAGAACTGATAACTTGGGTATACTGAATATATTCAGGAGTAACTTCTTCTATGTGAGACTTCACAACTGATGCATAGGTTCTACTAGGAGACCTTGATTTAACTTCAAGCTGTTCATTAGATTGAACAGTAGCTATAGCTGGTAATACACGTGGTGAATGCTCACTAGTTTCAGGTAATTCTGGTTCTTTATGAGCCTTTTGACGTTTGGATTTAGACCGATTCCTTGGCTTTTTGGTAGGCTCTGCAGGTTCAATTTGATCTTTAAGTATACTATCTTCAGGTTTAACCTGTGTAGGTTCGTCTTTTTCAGGAGTATTTGTATCTGTTTGTTCTGGTTCAATAATGATAGGTATTACTTCTGGTATATCACCAAGTTCTCGTTCTTCAATTACGACCCAAGAACTATCGATGACATGATCATTTTCCTTTAATATAGCCGATCTTTCTTCTTCGATAAATGTACTGATTTCGATATTATCTCTTTGAGAAATCTTCTTTGGTTCTTTTGTTTTAGGTAAAAATTCTTTTGATTCGACTACTTCTTCTTCATCTACTGGTTTGGCTTCAGGGGAGTCATCTCTTGGCACGTATTGAATTTTACTAGTATCTATTTCACTAAAGGCTCTTGGGTGTGGTGAGGATTCTCTACTTCTTCCAGTTTTAGCAACATCTGCGTAAGTTAAGTGATGGAAACTAGTTTTAATGTGAATTTGATCTGCAGAAATATTTACAGGCTCTTGAAGCTCAGGCTTATTGCTAGATATCAGTATTTCTTCAGCATGTGAAATTTCTTGTTTGGGTTCATCCGTTGGCTTAGGTGTTCTTGATCTTTTTCTAGATTTTTTAGATTTCTTTTCAACTTCTAGATGTTCAATTAAGTCAGGCTTCTTTTCTTCTTGTTTAACTGGTTCAATATGTTCAATTTTGTCTTCTTCGGATTTTTCTTTAGGAGTTTTGGATCGTTTTCTAGACTTTCTTGATTTTTGTTCAACTTTTAATTGTTTGTCTACATCTGCTTTAATTTCTGTGGGTACAGTTGGCTCTACAAGTTCGGATTCTTCGACGGTAATATCTTTGTGTGAGGATTCTGTCACTTCTAGGGAAGGTATTGCTGTAGTTTTAACTTGGTGGGTTGCTAAAATTTTAGCATAAGACGTATTAACAGGCACATTATTTGATTCCTCAGCATCATGTTTGGTATTTACTTCCTCTACTTTTTCAGACTTATCAATGGTCTCTTGCTCGGCTTCATTCGTTGATTTAGGAGTTCTTGACCGTTTCCTAGATTTTCTAGTTTTCTTTTCAACTTCCAAATTATCTACTACTACATTAACCGATGTATCTTCTGTAACTACAGGTTGTTCAATTTCTTCTACGACGTTTGTAGTTTCTGAAGATATTGTTTCAATTATTGTAACTTCAGGTTTGGAACTTGGTTTTATGAGATGGGTTGATAAAATTTTAGCATAGGACGAAACATTGTTATCAGTAGGACTTATTTGAGGCTGTTCTACAAGTTCAGTAGGTTTAATATCTTCTTGAACTATTTCATGAATTTGGGGCTTATCCTCTTGAACTTCAATATTATGCTTTGGAGTTCTTGATCGTTTTCTAGACTTTCTAGATTTCTTCTCAATTGTTAAATGCTGATCAATATCGGACTTGATTTCTTCTGTATGAACTGGTTCTATTTTCTTAACTACTTCAGTTGTCACAGTAACTCTCTTAGGCGATGTTTCATTCAATTTAACTTCTGGTTTAGTTGGTGGTTTTTCATGTTGACTGGATAATATTTTAGCATATGATATTGTAGTATTATTAGTAACCTGATCAACCGTGTCAACAGGTGTTTCTACTTCTTTTAATTGTACCGTATCTATCTTTTTAGGTACATCCAATTCAATACATCTTTCTGCTTCTATAAAGGCATTAATCTGAGCTGATGGTGATTCTTGTCGCTGCTTCTTTGATACCTCAGTGAATAAAATTGTCTCTTCAGGTTCTTTTTCGTGTACTATGGTATCTTCAGATGTATGTACTTCGGTAGTTTCCTGTATTTCTACTTTTGCTTCATGACCAGCATCTACGATATCAATCTGTAAGTTCTGCGAATCATCTGGAATTGTGAACATTTGCTTTGGCTTTTCTTCAACTTCCTTATTTTCAGTTTTAACTGGAGACTTGGATTTCTTTTTAGTCTTTTTCGATTTACCTTTACTTTCCAATTTTTCTACTGGATCTTCAATAGGATATTTTTTGGGCTCTGATGATGTTTCGATGAAACTATCTTTTGTAAGTTTATCGTCTACTTTTATATATGTTTCAGAATGTTTATCGTTTGGTTTAATACCTGGTGATACAAGTATTTTCGCGTAAGTCAGAACACTAGGGTGTTGTGCATTATTGTCGAATATTTCTTCAGTTTTAATCGGTTCCGCAACGGTTTCTTTGGTTTCAGTAACTATAGTTTTTACTACATCTATCGATTCCGGAGAAGAATCTGCAGAAGCTTTTGGTTGTCTTTGTCGAGACCTTGATCTTGACCTAGACCTCTTGCCCTTTTTGGTAACAACTTCCATAAAACCTTCAGTGTCTGTTGTAATTGTAGGCTTATCCAGTATTTCTTGTTTAAAGGGCTCATCTAGGTCCGTTATTTTGATTTCCACTTTTTGTGTACCAATTTCTTTAATAGTTGGTGGAGAATCTTCTCGTTTTGATTTAACTGGCGGATTTGCAGCCACGATGTCTGCGTATGTCTTATCTCCGCCTAAACTCTCCCATTTATTTAGAGGTTTAATTTCGACTGGAGCTGTAGGTATAATTTCAACTGGAGCTGTAGGTATAATTTCAACTCTTTGTTCTAAGTTTGTACTAATAGTTTCTGTCCATGGTTGAGAACTAATAATATCTCTAATTTTGTCAACTTTTAGTTCTGAAACTACATCTCTAGGAAGCAAGCTTTCTTCCATTCTTTGTTGCTCTAATCTCTCTTCATTTCGTTTCTTATCCTCGTTATCCTCAAGTATATCAGTCACCCATTTCGTAGTATGAGCAGGAGGTAAGTTGTACGTAGATTCGTATTGATCGAACATCGTTGAATCGCTTTTACCTCCCTCCCAACTTAGTTCTTCTTCTTCTTCATAAACTTGAGTATAGTCTTTTGTATCGGGTACGGTTATTTGCGATCGTGAGCTGGGTATAAATTCTGCAGCATCTGGATTTAGACTGTAGGAGGATTTAGACTGGTAAAGTTCTGATTTAGGAACAAATTCTGTTATATTGTCGACAATAGCCTCAAATTGTGAATGTGATCGTACTAATTGAGGAACTACATCAGTTTCCTCTGATCCTACAAATGGTTCTTGAGAAGAAACTATATTATCCTCAACTTCAGATGACTGTTCAATATCTTTCGCTGGGTCTATTAGAATTGTATCTATTTCCGGTTCTTTTGAGGAAACTAAAATTGTAGATTCGTCTGTTTTTATTACAGAATCAGTGACCTGAGAGGTAACTTGTTCATTCTCAATAAATTTAATATTAATATTTGTTTCCTCTGTTGGTTTTTCTTCGAAGGCAACATTTATAGATTCTTCATTTTGAACAAGTTCAGTATTTATCAAGGTTTCTACTATTTTAGGTATCTTTACTTCTGTAAGAGTTTCAGTCTCAACTTTCACAATATTCTTGTGCTCCGTTTGCAAAGAGATGTCTGTGGGTTCTACTGCAACTTTAGTCTGAACTTCCTTTTTCGCAGGAATGTCTACAGATTCGGATACTTCAACACTTTCTACGTTAGTCTCAACAGCAGTTTCACTAGTTTCTACTAGGTCATGTTTATCACTTACTTCTGTTAAGAACTTTCTATCAACTTCCATTTTATTCTCATCTTCTTTTTTAAGAGGAATATCTACAGGTTTTACTTCAGTTTCTTCTAGTGCTATTTGGTTTTGTAAAGCAGCGTCAATTTCTTTAGGTGTTTGTTCTATATTTTCCAAATCTATCTCTTGAACAATTGTCGTGATTTCAGATTCTTTGATTGAGACTTCTACATGTCCAGTGGTTGGTTTCGTTTCTACAACATTTTCTTCAACAGCAAGTGTCTCAGATATGATCTTATCTTCTTGTGCTTTTCGTTCATACCATGCGATTTCAGCTTGAAGCAGCTGTCTTAGATCATACTTCGAGCTATCTTCTAGTTCTAGAACTGGATTGTTTTCTGACTTTTCGGTAATTTCACTGGGTTTCTTATCAGTAATTTGTTTAGACAGTAACTCATAATATTTGGTTTCCTCATTGCGCATTCCTATCACATCATACTGGTAAACAGTTTCGTCAACAGTAATTTTAAGATCAGACACCGACGGCTCCTGAATAATATTTGTTTCTATTACTTCAACAACTTCAGATGGTTTTGGTTTTTCCTGTCTTGTTACATATTCTCCCTCAATTTTGTTTTGTTGAATGACGTCATATTTAACGGTTGCAAATTCATCTAGAACTAATGAATTTTCTATTTCGATTTTTTCTACATTTGGAGAGTCTTCTTTTTCTTCTGGTACAATGTCTTCACTTTCTGCATTTGGTGTTTCTTCTTTTGTAATTAAAGCTTTCTGTTTGTTTATAAAATATTCTGCTTCTAGTTTGTTTTGACAGATTATATCGTATTTCATAATAGTAAATTGATCTAAAGTCAGGAAATCTTCCAAATTTTTTGTCTCTGCAGTTTCTTGATCTACCTCTGGTAATTTCGTTTCTTCTTTTTCTAGTATATAAGTCGCTTCTGCCTTATTTTGACCAACTACATCGTACACTACTGTTGTGAATGTGTCTGCAGCTAAATTATCCTCCAATTTTACTGTAGGTGTTTCTATTTTTTCAAGAGTTACGTCAATACAGATGTGTTCAGTTGGGATTTTTTGTAATATGTCTTCTTTGGTTTGAGCTTTATCTTGTTTTGTTGTTACAGACTTCTCTACTTCTATAAATGTGGTGTTAACATCAAGAGCTTCTGCTGTTTCTTGATTTGTGTTCTCATCTTTTTTAAGATCAGTCTTATGCTGAATTTCTGAAAGTGATACAGTATCACTTGGTGGCACTGTTTGACTTTCATCTTCTTCGTCAGAAACCTGAATAGGCTCATCTAATATATCAATAAACAAAGTGCTAGACTCATCAATAGGTAAACCTTTGTATTCTTGTTTCTTTACTACAGTCGGTTCTTTTTCTACTTCCGTTTGAACGATTGAGGTGGTTTCAGTAATTACGAATGTATCTTTTTTATTGTCTTGATCGGTATGCGTTGATATTTCTGTGTTCAAAAAGTCATCAACCACAACTTTGTCAGTCTTTACTGACGGTTCTTCAGAAATATTCTCTTTTTCGCTTACAACGGGGCATTCCTCATCCGAAAAGACCATAGGTTCGTCTAATACATCCATAAATAGATTGGTAGACTCGTCGATGGGCAAACCTTTGTATTCCTGTTTCTTTACTACAATCGGTTCTTTTTCTACTTCAGTTTGAACGATTGATGTGGTTTCAGTAACTACGAATGTATCTTTTTTCTTATCTCGATCGGTATGTGTGGATATTTCTGTGTTCAAAAAGTCGTCAACCACAAGTTTGTCGGTCTTTACACTCGGTTCTTCTGAAATATTCCCTTTTTCGCTTACAACGGGGCATTCCTCATCTGAGAAGACCATAGGTTCGTCTAAAACGTCCATAAATAGGTTGGTAGATTCGTCGATAGGCAAACCTTTGTATTCCTGTTTCTTTACTACAACTGGTTCGTTTTCTACCTCCGTTTGAACGATTGATGTGGTTTCAGTAATTACGAATGTATCTTTTTTATTATCTTGATCGGTATGCGTGGATATTTCTGTGTTCAAAAAGTCGTCAACCACAACTTTGTCGGTCTTTACAGTAGGTTCTTTAGAAATATTCTCTTTTTCGCTTACAACAGGGGATTCCTCATCTGAAAAGACCATAGGTTCGTCTAATACGTCCATGAACATGTTGGTAGATTCGTCGATAGGCAAACCTTTGTATTCTTTCTTCTCTACGGTTATTTTAAGATCAACTTTCCTAGAAATGTCATCTTCAGAAAATACAATTGGCTGATCTAATACATCAACGAATAGAGTGGTAGATTGGTCGATTGGTAGTCCCTTATACTCGACCTTCTCAATAAGAGTTTCTACCTTCTTCGGCTCTGATGTACTTATTTCTAATTTTTCTGGGATTACTTCAATGTTTTTCAAAGTTTCAGACTTTTCTACATCTAAAAATTCTTGTGTTACAGATTTTTGTTGTGATACCAGAATATAGTCACCATATTCACTAGATGTTGTAGTTACTTCTGTAACTTGGACATCTGCTTTCTCAGTTGTTTTCTCATTGAGATTTTTTAGCTCGGTAATTTCTTTCTTTTCCACAGTTACTATATCTTCAGTACATTTAGGAACCTCGCTTTCTTTGTTTTCTACAACAAGTGGTTCTTCTTCATCTGAAAATACCATAGGTTCATCCAAAATGTCTATAAAGAGATTCGTTGATTCGTCAACAGGTAAACCTTTATACTCAGTTTTTGTTGATTTTATTTCAGCAACTTGAGTGTCTTTTGAATCTGTAGAAGTTACAGTTGAAAGTTTGTCTTCCTTTGGTTTTGCATCTTTCATTACTTCAGGTTCTTTTTCGCTCTGCTCTGGTATTGGTTTCGATGAAGAGTCCTCTTCGTCCGAGAGAATAATAGGTTCGTCTAATAAATCCATGAAAAGTGTAGATGTTTCATCTACAGGAAGACCTTTATATTCTACTTTTACGGAACTTATTTCTTGGGTTTGTATTTCTGGTGTCTTTTGAATGCTTTCAGTTATTGCTCGTTCAGTAGTCTTTGTTACTAGTGGTTTACTGATTTTTGGTTCAACTTTCAAAGGTTCGTCTAGATTTGAAGACTTTTCTGCATCAAGAAATACTGTCACAACGTCGGTTGCTTTTGGTTGTTCAACGATTTCAAATGGTTCTTTACTGATTTCTTGTTCTTCATCAGATAAAACAATTGGTTCATCCAAAATGTCGATAAAGAGATTTGTAGACTCATCAATAGGAAGACCTTTGTAATCTTTTTTAACTTTTGCAGGTTCTAAAATGTCGGTATCAGATTTCGTGGTAGTTGTTTCGGTTTTAACCGACTTAATTTCTTTTTCTACGGTTGTTCTTGGTTCTTCGACATTGGTATTAATAAGTACAACTAAATCTGGTGACTTTTCTGAGCTTTCTGTTTTAGTAAGTTCATTCTTTTCTATCGTTTCTTGTTTTTTGTCGACAGTAATTACTGTTTCCGTAGTAACTGATTCTGTAACAATTATATCTGCTGCATCTTTCTGTCCAACAATAACTTTTTGCTCTTCTGGTTTTGATTCTACAACTTCTTGTTGATGCTTTTTGTTTTTCTTCTTTTTCTTTTTATGAGTAACGTCTTGTTTTTCGATATCATCAACGCCTTCTGGTTTAGTTACTGGTTCTATGATAGTTTCGGTCTCTGTATCTGATATGTGTTTTATTTCTTCTGTGACTGTAAATGCTGGTTTATGAATTTCTTCAGATACATGCTTTTTCTTGTGTTTTTTCTTCTTGTGTTTCTTTTCATCGGGATGTGATTCACTTGCATCAGAAAGAACTGTAGTTTCCTTTGAAGGTTCCAAAATATATTCTGGTACAGGTTTAGGTTTGATTTCAACAGGTTCGAGATATTGAGGTTTTGGTTCCAAGTTTGAACTTACGATACTAGCCCAAGAAGGTTTGTTTGTTAAGATCACTGATTCTTCTTTAGTTTTATCAGATACTTCTGTTTTCTTTGTTTCTGGTACTGTATGAACTTCCTCAACGATTTGTTCTTCTGGTTCAGACACTTGGGGATGTTTCTTTTTATGCTTTCTCTTCTTTGGTTTTTTCATTTCGGAAGTAGTACTGTCCTCTGAGTCAGGATATTGAACATTTTCTTTAACATGCTGTAATGTTGTTTCTTCATCAACTTTCTGTTCTTCTGTCACTGTTTGGGTTTCAGTAACATTTGCCTTAACGATTGTAGCATAGGAAACACCTGCTTCCTGAACATGTGTTGTGTCGATGAGTTCAACTGGTTTATGAACAACCTGAGGTTCTTGTTTATCAAGAGTTTCTTCCACTACAGCTATTTTTTTCTTTTGTTTTTTCCTCCTTGGTTTAGCACTAAGATCTAAACTTTCTAAATCTTCGTCCACTTTAGTTGTCTGTTCTACATTACGGTCTAATAATACTTTTTCAGTTGTCGGTGTTTGTTCTTCTATTTGTACTGCAGAAGTAGGTTTAATTTCAGTCGAAACAACTTCTATTGGTAGTTCTTGTTCTACCTCTTTAACTAATTCAGTTCTGTTCACTTGTTCTTCTATTTCATTAGATATACCTGTTGATATAACAGTCTCAGTTATTGTTTTTACTTCTTGTGTAATTGCCTGAGGTATTTTTTCTTCAATTACCGTTTTGGGTGTTTCATTCTTAGATAATTCTGTGGGTACTTCTTCTTCGTGTTCAGTTTGTTTATTCTTTGATTCCACAGGTTCTTGTTTATCAGGAGTTTCTTCCACTATAGCTATTTTTTTCTTCTGTTTTTTCCTCCTTGGTTTAGCACTAAAATCTAACCTTTCTAAATCTTCGTCCACTTTAATTGTCTGTTCTACATTAAGATCTAACACTATCTTTTCTGTACTAGGTTTTTGTTCTTCTATTTGTACAGCAGAAGTAGGTTTAATTTCAGTTGCAACAACTTCTATTGGCAGTTCTTGTTCTACCTCTTTCACTAATTCAAATGTTTCTTTATCATTAGATTTTGTGGTAGAGACTGTTGATGTAACAGTCTCGGTTATTGTTTTAATTTCCTGTGTAAGTGATTCAGGCGTTTTAGGTTCTTTTCTTTCTACTTCTTTAAGTAATTCAGTTCTGTTTACTTGTTTTTCTATTTCGTTAGATATATCTGTTGATATAACAGTCTCACTTATAGTTTTTACTTCTTGTATAATTGCCTGAGGTGCTTTTTCGTTTACTGCTTCATTCTTAGATAGTTCTATGTGTGCTACATCTTCGTGTTTAGCCTGTTTATTCTTAGATTTCTTTTTAGCTTTAGGCCCATCTTGCGACGCTGGTTTTTCACTAACAGTAAATGTTTCTTCAGGCACAGCTTTAATTTCCACAGTTTTCTGTTTTTTAGACTTCTCTTTGTGATTCGTTTTGGGTTGTTCATCTGGTATTTCAATTTTATCTGGCAAATCTTCTTGTTCGTCAGTTATTTTCGGAATTTCTGGCAGTAATGAATTGTTTATTTCTTCTGTAATGAAAGTTGCATTTACATTAATCTTTACCTGATGTTCTTGTACTTTTGCAGGTGTTTGCTCCTGAAGAGAACCAATATCTTCAGGTTTTGGCTCATGTTTAGGCTTTTTAGATTTTTTCTTTTTGGATTTTTTATCTTCTACTGATTCAGTAATTTCTTGTTGATTGATACTAACATGCTCAGTATTAGAGTTTTCTGAGACTCTAGTATTATGAATAACTTCAAAGGTTTGTACGATTTCATCAATATGCTTTTCTTCGCGTCCTTTGTCTTTTTCTTCTCGTTCTATCGCAGAAACAAAAACGAATTCTTCGGCACTCTCAGAATCATCATCTGGTGTCGAAGCTTGTGTTTCTTCTATGTAAGGATGTTGGTCTTCAATATTTATTATTTGAGGAGTTTCTTCAAATGTTACAGATTTTCTTTTCTTATCTTTCTTCTTTTTCTTTTTAGCTTCAACTTTTTCATTCTTAGAAACAGTTACTTCCTTTTCTTTCTCGTTCTTGTTCTTGGAAACAGTTTCTGTAATCTCTTTTTGAACTTCTTGTTGATACTTTTGAATTGTTTCAGTTTTAAGAGTAGTAAGAATATCTTGTAAATCGTCTTGTGGTTTTTCTACAATTTTGATGGTTTGAGGAGCACTTGTAGTTACTGTCGCTTCTAGATAAGATATTTCTGGCAAAGGTTTCTCTGGTGACATTGGTATCGAAGGTAGATTCTGGAAATAATCTTTCTCAACCTTTATAAAGACACTTGATGAATTAAGTTCTGGGATTTTATCAGAAATTTCTGCCTCTTTACTTTCAATACTGGTTTCCCTAGTTGGTTCTTCAACTATCAATTCTTGTTCTTTAATTTGAACTGTAGTTACAGGTTTTTTACTAATAGGCTTTTCAGTTTCTTCTTGAATTGCGTCATTTGTAATACGTGTCTCCTGTGTAGTTTTATCTGTGTTTGCTTCTTCGCTAATTACAGTAGATTCAGTTACAGTGGTAGTTATTGTTGACCAAGTGGAATGGGGTTTTACTTTTCTATCAGGTATACTAGATAGGTCAGGCTTGTACTTGGATAATGTTTCTTGCTTGAGCTGCAAAAGAATATCTTCAGTGTTTTGGGATGGTTCTGTTATATCTAATACCTGTTGTTCAGTAGACGTAACTTGTTCTTCTGCTACATCACTATGTTTAATTTCTTGAACTATAAAATCGTCAACTGCACTTTCAGTTCTGAGAGTATCTTGTATGTGTTTCTTTTCTGTTTCGCCCAATTCGGAAATTGTAACAATGTCTGAACTATCAGCTTCTTCAATATCTCTCTCAACTAATTCTTCATCTGAAATAAAAACAGTTTCTGTTTTACTTACAGTTACATCTTGTAAAATGTCATGTGACTCACTAGGTTTCTGGATTTTTTGATCTTCTGTTAATGTAGCAGATACTTTTTTAGACTGTCTGGAATCCAAAACTTCCATTATATTTTCGAAAGTTGTAATTTCGGTTTCGATGACTGAATCTGTTCTTGACAGTGACGGTTCAATCTGTTCAATAATGTCAGGAGATTTTATGTCAGTTGTGTCTAAGAGTACGTCCAAAGGTAAGGCCTGACGTTTTTTATTTGTACGAATATTGTCATCATCTTCAGTTTTTTCTTTATTCTCTTTCTCTTCTCTTGCTATCCTAATAGCTTTTTGACTTGGCCGTTCTTTAACCGATCCAAAGATTACTTGTTCAATTTCAATATCATACTTCTCACTAGTGTCATCTGTCACTTTTTCTACATTATCTGTTATTTGTTGACGTTCTTCTACTTTTTGAACAATTTTTTCTTCGTTTCTAGTTAACAGCTGTTCTTCCACAGAAGTTTCTTGTAGTACTGCATCTATAGTATCTTTCGTTTCTTCATCACACAATCCTTTCTCAATATGATGTATTTCTTCAACAACAGGTTCCCCAACAAACTCCATTTTTAGTGTTACTACCGGTTTCATTCTTACTTCTTCATGAGTAATAAATACGATTTTTGTGGTATCTTTTGGTTCACCAGTTACTACAGTTTCTTTGATAACAACAGTATTTTGAGATTTATCATCTTCTTTTATCTGATGTGTAGATTTTTGTGAGTCTATAAATATTTGACTACTTGTCGTAGTTTTTACGGTCTTTTCAGTTTTAGACAGTTCTGTAACTTTTGTTACTGCGTTTGTTATGACAGATTCGATAAAATCAGACGAACCGTCTCTTAAATATTGTGTTATTAAGGCCTTTTCTTCGTCTTTATCTTTATTAGCAACGTTTGTAGGAATTATGTCGTTATTGTTACGTTTTTCATTTACTAAAAATGATTCTGTAGTTTGGGAAACAACTTTGTTTAAGTTCACTGTTGGTTGTTTCTCAGCTCTTGTATTTTCAAGTGTTATGTCGGCTTCCAAAATAATATTTTCTTTATTTTCGTCAATTGTGGATTGATCTTTTGGTTTTTGATCCTTTTCTAAGGAACTTGAAGTCTCAATTTCGGTCAAAGTAGAAGTTATAGTAGTGTGCAAATTTTCATCAGCTTTATTAACTTCAGAAACTTTGTCCTGCTTGTTCTGCGGATGTTTCTTCTTCTGTTTTTTATTTTTTGACTTTTTATCAGATTCTACTACAGCTATTTCAGTTGGTTTTACTTCACTTGTAGGTAACACTTCTGTAACAACTGTTTGGGATTGAGTAGTTTGAGTTTTTTCTGTTATGAAAGTAGAAAGTGCATTTATTTGATTGCTTATTATGTTTAATGCATCTGTAGGTAAAGATTCTACTTTACCGTTTACTTCTAGAGTTTCATTAGTTTCAACAGGTTTCGTCTCAATAATATTAGTTGTTGTTTTCAGCTCCAGTGGTTTTGTTATTTCCTCTTTAGTAGAAATTTCAGTTTTTTCAATAATTTCAGGTTTTTTCTTGCCTTTTTTCTTTTTAGACTTTTTGTTAGGTTCATCCAAAGTATTCTGAACTTCTGAATCTTTAATGATATCAGTCACTGATTGAATTAATTCAGTAGTTTGTTCATCTTGTTTTACAATGTCTGCTTTATTAGTTTCATCGATAGATTCTACGACAAGCAAAGATTCAGTTACTTGTTCCGTGATAGAAGTTTTAGTTGCTTCATCAGCATCGATGTTATGTTTACTTTTATCCTTTTTCTTATTCGATTTCTTACTAGGTTTACTGATAGATTCTTCTACTTTAGTGCTAGGAGATTTCAAATCAACAGATTCAGAGTTTGGAAGTATTTCTCTTTCAAGTGAAGATTCAACTATGATATCGCTCTCCAGAATTTTCTGACTTTCTTGATCCCTAGTTTCTGCAACAGACTCATCTACAATTTCTTGGATATTTGTAGTCGAAGTTTCAATATTTTCAGCTTGTTTAACTTCGTGTTGGTGGGTGACAATAGTAACTACCTCTAGCGATTCTCTTGTAGTAGGGGTATCGACTGAAGGTAATTCAATATGATCTACCACTATGGGTTCTAAAGGAGTACTGTCTTCTTTAACAGTTTCTGCAGATTCTGTTATTGGAATGAATTCTATTTCCTGTACTATGGTCGTTTTAACTAGTACGTCTGATTTCTTTTTATCCTTCTTTCTCTTAGATCTTTTAACAGGTTCGTCTTTGGTTTCCAAAACTTCCAAAGATTTATTGTCAACAATACCAGTGTCAAGAGATTTGGGTATCTCTAGGGATTCTGTTATTTGTTCTGTAGTGGAAGACTTAAGTAATACTTCTTCCTTTTTATCCTCTTTTGGTACAGATTTATCTGAAGTTTCCTGAACGTCTAAGAGTTCTGGAAGTTGACTGTCGACGATGACTGTATCAACAGTTTGAACTACTTTTAGGTTCTCTTCTGGTTTTTCTGTAGAAGATGTATCAACAGGTACGTCTTTCTTTTTACCTTTTTTCTTGCTAGATTTTTCTACAGGTTTATCTAATTTTTCCTTAGCATTCTCCAAGGTTTCTGCAGATTTGTTGTCGACAATAACGGTATCAATAGGTTTTACAATTTCTGTGGAGATTTTAAGTTGTTCTGTTATAGAAGTATCAACTGGTACGTCTTTCTTTTTATCTTTTTTCTTGTTAGATTTTTGTACAGGTTTATCTAAAGTTTTCTGAGCATCTTCCAAGATTTCTGCAGGTTTAATGTCGATAGTAACGGTATCAACAGGTTCTACAATTTCTGTGGAGATTTTAAGTTGTTCTGTTATAGAAGTATCAACTGATACGTCTTTCTTTTTATCTTTTTTCTTGTTAGATTTTTGTACAGGTTTATCTAAAGTTTTCTGGGCATCTTCCAAGATTTCTGCAGGTTTAATGTCAATAGTAACGGTATCAACAGGTTCTACAATTTCTGTGGAGATTTTAAGTTGTTCTGTTATAGAAGTATCAACTGGTACGTCTTTCTTTTTATCTTTTTTCTTGTTAGATTTTTGTACAGGTTTATCTAAAGTTTTTTGAGCATCTTCCAAGATTTCTGCAGGTTTAATGTCAACAGTAACGGTATCAACAGGTTTTACAATTTCTGTGGAAATTGTAAGATGTTCTGTAGTAGTACTATCAACTGGTACGTCTTGCTTACTACTAGCTTCTTTTACAGGTTCATCTAGAGCTTTCTGGTCATTTTCTAATATTTCTAGAGATTTACTATCGACAATAACAGCATCAACAGGTTTAACTGTTGCTACGGATTCTGTTACTTCTGTTACATCTTTAGATTCTTGTACAGATAAACTTTCTTGAGCACTGTCTAATATTTCTGGAGATTTACTATCAACAGTGACAATATCTACAGGTTTTGAAGTTTCACTTATATGAGGCACCTTCTTATCTTTTTTCTTTTTAGATTTCTTAGTGGGTTCATTCAAGGTATCTTGCATTGTATCTCTAGAAGATCCTTCGGGTGCAATATTAGAATATTCGGTAGTTGTTTTGTCTTCAGATGTATCATCAACTTTTCTTTCTGTAACATTCTTAGTAACTACATAGTTGTCTTCTACCTGAATCTCGGTGGTAATGAATTGTGTGGTTACATAATTTACATCGGGTTGAAGATTTTGTTCACTGCCGACTTCAACAAGATCTAAATTACTATGTGTCTTTTCATTTTCGATGAATCTTTCAGAAGTGACAGGCGTTTTCTTTGGTTTCTTGGTAGTTGGCGCATTTAAAGTAGCTTCCGTATGACTTGTATTGATGATTGTGTCTTTGGGTTGAGGTTGCTCAACTTCGGTTAAAACATCTACAGATTTAACAGACTTGACCAGCTGTGGCGTTTCTTGACTAGCCATTTCTTTCTCAGGCTCTTCAGTTTTTGGCTGAACCTTCTTATTCTTCTTTCTTTTAGGCTTAATTATTGGGTCTTCAACTGTATCTTCTGCTTTTTCTGTTACAGTTGTTTCCGTTACGGCTAACTCAGCTTCTTTTAAAGGCACTTCATGTTGATCAGTTTGTGTGTCTTGATCAGGCTGAGGTTTCTTGTGTTTCTTCTTTTTGGATTTTTTGTTGCTATCTTCATCGGTAGGCTTGACTGATTCTGGTGATTCGGTACCAACTATGTGTTTCGTGTCGATCTCGGTAATAGAAGATTCTGTAACTTTGGCGTCTTTAGTTAAATGAGATTTAGATACATCTATTTCTGTGGTTGTTTGGGAAGTAGTGGTTTCTAAAACAACGATTTCTTTCTTTGTTTTTACTGCTTCTGGTGCTTGAGGCTGAGGTTTGTTTTTGTGTTTCTTCGTTTTAGATTTCTCTGTGGGCTGATCTACATTTAATTGATCTTTTTCGCTGTTTTCTTTTTCTGATTCAATGAACGCTGACGGACTGATCTTAATATTTGGAGTCTCTTTAGGGTCAAGTGTTTTAGTTTGAATTTGTTCTTCATTTATAACTGCTTCTGGTGTCGCGTTTTCTTGAAGCTGAGGTTTGTTTTTCTGTTTCTTCTTTTTATTTTTTTCTATGGGCTGATCTACATCTAATTCGTTGCTTGCTTTTTCAGATTCGATGAAAGCAGAACTACTAGTATCAATAGTTGAGGTCTGTTCAAGCTCAAGTTTGCTAGTTTGGAGTTGCTCTTGATTTATAAACTCTTCTGAGTGTTTTATTTGAGTTTTTGGCTTATTCGTTTTGGGTTTACGTTGGCGTTGTGGAGGATTATCATTTCTATCTTCTGTTTCTTCGTCAGATATGTGTCTAATAAACTCTTCAATAACAAAAGCGGCCTTATTTTCGTTCGGTCTGGGATGCTTTGGTTTCCGTTTGTGTTTTGATTTTTTGTCTTTTGTTACAATGCTTACATCTTCACTATCGTGGGATTCATCTACTGAGGATTTGTCAGTTGGTTCTAATTTAGACGTGGTGGTTATTTTGGTTTCTACGATTGTAATTTCTTTGTGCGGTTCTTTAACGGTTTTTGTTTTTGTTTTGGTAACAGTTATCTGTTTAGTATGTGACTCATCTAAAGGTTTAGTTTTCTTATACTTATTATTAGTCTTATGTATATCTATAATAGGAGAAACATCACTATCACTAAGTTTTAAGTCTTGTGTGGAGGAAATATCAGTTGCTTCTTGACCTCCTACATTGGTAGGCTCTCCATGGTAAGAAGGCAGCTGATCATGTTCGAAGGTTACTTCATTTAATGTTTCTGTATGTTGCTTATAAGCAACATTGAGGAATTTCTCTTCTTTAAGAGACCTATCCTTCAAAGATTTGCGCGTTTTGTGCTCCCTCGATTTAGACTTCGTATCTTCCGCATGCGTGGAATACCCAGGCACGGGAGATTTTAGTCTGGGGGCTTGTCGAGCGTTCGAAGGTTGCACTGTTGCTATACTGGATGGCTGGAGAGATTTGCCGCTTAGTCCCTGAGACAAAATTTGAGCGTACGAGAAATGCGAACCAGTAACATCCGGTTGTGACGTTTGTGTTAGTGGTTCACGAGACACTTCTTCGACTTTTTCGTTATCTTTTATAGGCACTATATTTTCTACCACCATTGGTTCAGTTGGAGGAGGTACGACACTCGTAGGAATAGACTGACTAGAATAAGTTTCCTCCGAGTACCTCGTGTCCTCGTAAGCACCATCTTGATAAGGAATATGATAAGTATTGGAACTTTGGTAAGTTTCTACAGGCGTATTTAGAATTTGTTGATTTGAGGCCATTAAATTTACCATTTCTGGAGTAGGCTGCATGTAGTCCACAACAGGCACATTTATATTTTGAGCGTAATAATGCTGCTCTAGTTGCGAAGGTACAGAATACTCTTGTTGATGGTACTGAGTCCAGTCTTGGATAAAAGAAGGCACTGCATAATTATCTTCAGTTATATTGTTAAAGTTATCTTGTACATCAGGAACTTCGAACTCAAGTTCGGCTTGTGGTTCTACATCTACAGGTTTTTTAATGTGCGCAATAGCTTGCTCTTCTAATTCCTGATATACTTGTTTATTTCTTTCATCCTGAAGAAACATTTCTCTTTCTTCAGATGTTCTGAATTGGCCTCGTAAGATTTCAGCGTAAGTGGTATTTCCAGGTGCCCACATAGGACTAGGAGATCTACCTCTTATCCTTTGTTGGACTGATAAATGACCAGATTCAGTATCATCAGAATGATCTACAGATTCATCTACTCTTTCTTCTATTAATTCTGTAACTACTATAGGTTCTGTCAGTTCTGTTTTAACAATGGTGGTATGAGTTAAAGTAACAGAACGGTCAGGTTGAACTTTGGCTTTGTTTGGTAAATTTCTTGGCCTGGGGGAACGACTACGTCGTGCAGACTTTGGTTTACGTTGAATTTCGGGTTGTTTTGTAACTTCTGGTTCTAAAATTTGAGGAATATTTTCAAGGGGTGCTTTAATTTCACTTTTTACTTCCAGCTGAACAGGCGGTTCTACATCTTTTGGCTCAGGGAGAAGTACAGTTAGGTTTCTCTCCAAATGCATAGATTCGGTATCGTGTTTTTCGTAGGCGGGTGAAGCTGATCGACGTTCTTGCGATTTAGAGCGTCCGGCTGCGATATCAGCGTACGATACTCCGAGAAGGGAGTATTCAGGGTGGGGTTGTGTGGAGTAAGGATCCACTTGTTGGATTTTGGTGACGAGCGTGGAGATCTCCTGCCGGTTCGCTTCGATCCGCGCCTATTTGTACAGCAACAATGCAAGAAATCAGTAACGCGCAGCACACAATAACAATAATATATATACACGCGTAAGAGAGTGGTGGCCAAGTCGCGCATCAAGATAAGGTTTCATGGTCTTGTCGGGAGATTTGGGAGGTAAGGATTTAGTGCTAAGTACCAAGCGGTTCTTGATCGGGCGTGCCCCTTTGCGCTATAACTTTCATTCGCTCGTTCCGAGCGCTTAATTTTCGTTGCAAAGTACGGGCTCGCTCTTTATGAACCTGCACAGGAATAGGTGTGGAAGGAATGCAGCGTAACGAACAAAAAAGAAGAAAACAAAAATGTACGTTGAAAAATAACCATACAGTAGACAAACATAAATAGTTATGATTGTGTTCGCTTTCTGGCTCACCCAAAAAATATAAAAAAATAAGCATGATATTAAGTGTGGTGTGTATGCATATGATGATCGTCCAAGGTAAAACCTAGATGCCTTTGAAAAAGAAGAACCGATATGACTTAAAAACTATTGTATTAACAATGTCGTCAAATTATGTTAGTTTTACGAGAATAACTGTTATTTTAGTACTTCAAACACATGCAAATAAAAGATGGGTACCTGTTTGTATAGCTTTCTACAACATTTTATTTCGTATTTCTTAATTTATAATAGTAACTTAGGTTCCAAATGAAGACGCAAATATTTTAAAACAGTTAAAGTCTGCACAAAAAATTAGTAATATATTTTTTAAATTCATAAATTATAAGTTTGGTTTTTAATTTTATACTTAATAGAAAATAGCTATGATAGCTCTCACAGTACAGTCAGTAGTTACATTAATTTGTTTGCTAGGATTGTTATATATGAGTACAACTCCTACAGCAGCGTTGGAAGTCCTGCTGAATCTACCACATCAGAAAGTATAGGTGCTAAAAGCCGATATTTTGATGGGGCAACCTATCGATGCAACAGCAACGAGATATTAGGTTTAACAATAAGTTCACAATTAATATACCAGGCAGGGAAGACTGACATGAAGGTGTACTAAAGCTGCTGCTATCCAGTACACGGATGGCTCAAAAACAGGGACGGTGTAGAAGCCGGGCATCAGGGACAAATCCAGGAGTACATTTCCTGGTAAGTCTATCTAAGGTTTACAGTTTTTGCGTTTATGCCCAAAATAAACTATGAGACCGTAGCACGGTTACGGTAGCCTGAGTACCGGGGCACGAGATTCATAAGGGCAATGAAAAAGGAGATGAAATGGTCAAACAATTCTCATAGAGTTCTGGGTCATGCCCAGAACTCTTCTGCGGCGTTGCAAAGACAGTTAAGAACAAGGAAGTGGATAGCTCAAATCTCTGGAATGGACATTCACCAGGATAAAGACAGGCGAAACAGTTCAGTACAAAACATTTGCCAACATTTACGGTAAACCTAATAGGCAAAGGCAGGAAAATAGACAAAGCTATAGTAGGTCTTCTAACAGAGCACTGAAAGCCGAATAGGCACTTGAAGCTGATGAGATTATCAGCTGATGACTTGTGCAGATTCTGTCACAAGAGGAAACAGCAGAGCACATTCTATGTCAGTGTGACAGTTTGGCAAATTTGTGGTTCTTTGCATTAGGAGAAGAAAATCCACCGGCAAATAGTTACATGGATGGTAAAGTCTCGAAGCTATTAGACTTTTTAAAAAGGGTCAGGCTAGAGAATTTTATCTAGGACTAAAGGACTAGAGAATATCTTCTAATGTCCGTAATTCATCGATGGAATTCTTAATATGCATTTATAACATCATATATAGATGGCTTCAAGTTTTTTAACCCTTAACCTGAAATATTGTATAAACTGTCGTTTTGTAAAGGTGCAGGTTTAGTGGGCCAGGTATTTCGTATTATGGTGTTTTGCTTGTTATGGATTGTGTATTGGTAAACAAGAAGGTATTTTAAGCATTGGTAGTTCTAAACCAGTAAACCTGGCTGACCCAGACTTTGTAAAAAAATACGAGCCTTGCTTCATTCTGAAGATCAAAAGATTTATATTTATAAAACCGAGAGACTTGATAAAAAGAGTACATATGTTATAGATGACACAGAGGAAGATTACGACTATGTCATTTAGCAGAGTGAATCTTCTAACGATGAAGAATCGAATTCAGATCTTGAACTTTGGGGGTGAGATGAACCTTGGTGTGAATCCCAACAATCCAGAACCGATTCTCTACAATCAGAAGTGGACCATGTGACCATATTCAAAGGAAAAGTGTCTTTCAGTGGCAGGAGCGGAACCTCCGAGAAACACAAGGACCCGAAGACATAATATGAGAGGATTATCAAATCTAACAGCGTTAAGTAGGACTTTTGTCAGGAGCGGAACCTCCGAGAAACACAAGGACCCGAAGACATAAAAGCAGAGGATTATCAAATCTAACAGCGTTAAGTAGGGCTTTAGTCTTATAAGTCAGATATTTGGAATTTGTTGATTAATAATGAGATGTTAGTAGAAATTGTAACTTGGAAAAACCAAAAAATTATATTGTAAGAACAATTACCTAATTTGACTAATACTTCCAATTACAGAAGCACAAATATAGTTAAGATAAAGGCTTTGCTTGGATTTTTTATGTAATCTTCAATTATAAAATCTCTTGTGTTTGACATTGGTACAATATTCTATGGCTTTTCCAATACCCTAACCTCGATATCATATATACCAAAGCGAAGTAGAGCTGTGCTCCATGCATCACACAAAAAACCTTGGGGGAAACCTGAAATAATTGAATACTATAAAAGTACAAAGCCAGGAGTTGATGTTTTAGATATTTAATGTGCTAATTAGTGGATAGCACAGAACAAGGCATTGGCCATATTTTACACACTCCTCAACACAAACTCATTAAGTTACATCCTTTATTTATCTTTGTTATAAGAACTTTTCCGTTTTAAACTTGTAAAAAATTTGGTCTTTGAAAGAAGTCTTTGAAAGAAAGACCTAAAGGAAGAATATAGAAATATTTTTGGGAATTAATACCAGTTTGTCTATCGAGAATGTATGCCATAATGTTCTTGAACTTCCCAAAAGAAAAAATATGTAACATTTCTCCATCACCAAAAATGAAGAAGACAAATTATAGATGTGTCTCTTGCTGAAAGACTATTTTTTGGAGTGTAGTAGGAAGGTTTGCGTTAACTGTCTGCAAAATTAGTACCCATAACTTACTCTTGTTTTATCTAGAAGTATGTATGTATATTCTTTCCCATTTGTATGTATTCAGTAATGTCTATTATTTGTTCAAAACCAAAATACCTATCAATTCCTTCAAATTCAAACTACTGACTGTACTAACAGCATTTAACTAATATGTGCAATATAACACTGCAGTATTTTAAGGAACGTTAGCATTTTTTAATGTATAATTGATTTTTAAGTAATCTTTGTACTGCAACGTTTGCTTTAACAATAAAAACTAAAGACTTTTTGGCAGATTTCACAACTTACCTACCTGCTTAAATAAAAACATCAAGAAAATCAAAATTTTAATAACAGATCAAAACAGTTTCCTATATTTTCAAATATATATCAAAAATTAGTGCGAAATACAAACCAAAACCATGATATAATGCAACTTCTATCACGTATTAAGACTTTTAATGTTTTAATCTTTAAATTATTGTTTTATGTTTCTCAAAAATAAGCATTACTTTTTTATTTGTTAGCTGTCTGTAGTTTTGAGTCAAATATCTACTCTCCTGGGTGCATACTCAAACAGCAAGATTGAAGAATAGTTGTAAAGAGTACAGAAACTATAGACACAGGCAATTGAAAAAGTCTGGAAAGCTCACCCTGTGCTATTCAATTATTAATTAAACAAGTAGAGCGTCAACAAATAAATGAGAAATAAACAAAATTAAAATAATCTGTTAAACAGACAACGCCATATCGATAGTCTATAAACAAGTAGTAAAACAGCACTTGGTAACAAAATACTTCAACACTCCCACCACTCCGACTCTGACGTCACGATTTACACTCATAAAACGCTGGGCGTAAACTAAACGCTGATATGAAATAAGGCTCCGGTCGTGGCTTGTGACGCCAAACTAAGAGTGTCCAAGGCAGCTGGTCCACAATCAAAGTTTCCTGTTTGAAACTGTTGTCCAACTACTAATATACCCTACAAATAAAGGCACATATTTAACTTATGGGAGAAGGAAGAAAAAGTTCTCATCCTCAACAAGGTGTGTCCCTAATCGTTGACAGCATACAATTAACTATCATATCATACGTTTGAGATTTGTGATGTCACTACTGCGATTTCTAATTTCAAGGCACTACCATCGTGTTCAGGAAATGCAGAGAGAAAAGTGTTGCCTAATGCCTAAGCGAAGACCCAGGATTTGGCGGACTTTGGAGAAATATAACTGTGGCATGTGGTATGGGCCGAATATAACAAGATGGTGGTAATAACATGTGTATGACCCAGAAGAATATTCAAAAATGAGTGACTCTACAAAATTTAAAAATAAAAATTTAAGGGGAAACTAGCAGATATATAACACCAATCTCAGATGGCTAAGGAAATATAAAAGCTCTTTCATGACAGAAGAACTTAATCATACCACACAGCGAAATCGACATAGATGAACCTTGAATTTATAAAGCTACTATAAACCAATAATGACATATGTATTAGACACAAGGCCCGATACTGTCAAAACAGACTACTAAGGCAACAAAGGAGGTTATTAAAAACATAACAGAAGCATATCCCAAACCGTGGGAATAACAAGTATATGCAGACAATACAGCCAAAATAAACTATTGAGGCAACGAAGAAGGCTATTGAAGACAGCACAGATCCTAAATCCTGGAAATGATGACCCGATCTCAGACAGAGAAAAAATTTAGAAGGTCCATCTATTGAAAGAGAGCATCTATCATCGCATGGCGAAATCAACACAGATGATCCTTGAATTTACACAGCTATTATAAAACTAATAATGACATATATACCAG